TGGTTAGTTTGTAAAAGCTGTTTGAAGCAAATTGTCAACTTTTGTGTGTAAATTTAAGCTTTTTGATGAAATGTATTTTTACTGTAGTACAACATTTTAAAAACAAAAAAGTGTTTGCTGGTTCTATAAATATTTAAAGGAGAACTATGGGGTTAAGGCTTTTCCCCATAGTTCTCCTTAGGGTAACGGGAGGACACAAACTAGCGTCCTCTCATCACCCAAAGTTCAGTATACTGTGAGCTACAGCTCGCGGTATACTGAGACGCCGCAGCTGAAACGGATCCCGACAATGATGTCTGGATCCACCCAGCTGGAGGACGCTAGTTTGTGTCCTCCTGTCACCCTAGGCTCAGTATACCGCGAGCTGTAGCTCGCGGTATACTAAGACGCTGCAGTATACCGCGAGCTGCTGCTCGTGGTATACTGAGACGCCGCAGCTGAAGCGGATCCCGACAATTGTGCCGGGATTCGCCCAGCTGCGTGACTGACAGCTGGCTCTGCTTATCTAGAGGCAGAGCCAGCTGTACCCGCCCCCTACCTCGTCCGTTCCGCCAGTCAGCGCTGGCGGATCTGAGCGGGGAGGGGGGAATCCAGCCGCTCCCCTGTCACGGCAGAAAGCCCTGATAAGGTTCGAGAGGTGAGCGAACGCCGGTATGTGTTCACTCACCTCCCGATCTAATGAGCCAGCCGACCTGTGACAGTCTCATTGTCACAGGTCGGCTAGAAGCACTCACCTCATAGTTCTCCTTTAAAGAAGCATCTAGTTAGCAATTCGTTCTCTGTCGGGTAGGATGGTAAAGAGCAATTTTCAAGATTTGCCAAAAGATTTGTAAATTAAGACCTGGAGTCTAACTGGGCCATTTTAAGACATTGAGTTTGTTGGTATTGTAACCATGTCAGCAACACGCAATTGGTCAGTGAGTGGCATGGTTGAGAATCATTTGCAATGTTTATGCCAAGGTCAGGCCACACCTACCTGGTCAGTGCACACAGGTGAACACAGGTGGAACAACTGCTCAGGTGCTAGATGCTCCTCTGCATCTAATAGCCATGCGACTACAGCCTGAAAACAAATGGTTGTCTGTTCTTACACCACAGTGTGCTGTCTGACACCACCACTCTTATTCAATTCCTAAGTCGATTCAGTTTCCAGGTGCAGTATAACCAACCTATGCTGCTGAAATCAGACCAGTATAAGACACATTCTGAAGGTTGCTGCTCTTGCTGCCAGAGATTTTTACAAACAGTCTTGCAAACAATCAAACAGACTTTGTTGTATAAAATGCTCTTGTGACCTTATAACAAATACTGAATATATTATCTATGAACATTTATTCATAAACAAATAAATATACGTTACATGTACACATATATGTTATATGTGTATAAACCCAGCCCACTTCCCTATCCTCCTGACCTAGCCCCCCACCTCCCAGCCCAGGTGTTTACTTACCTCTGTGGCAGCAGTGGTCTACTTAGTGTTTATGTCCTGTGGCCCGAAATGTTTACCACTGCTGGCCATGCCTGCTCAGTTACCTCTTATAGACTTAATGGGTTGAAGCTCCAAGCATTTCTAGAGTAGGATCAAAGCACCATTTAAAACTATAGGAGCAGCCAACATGGAAAAGATTTTTGGATGCAGAATGTAAACACTAGAGGAGGCTTCCAGGGAGAGGTAAGTAAGCACTTGGTTGTTTGGATGGGTTGATTTTAGGATAGATAAGGTTGGGAGCATAGGGAAGGAGGGGAGGGTTTTCCACTTCACTATAAGGACACTTAAATAAGTATGGTTCTTTTTAGAATGGGTATAAACCAATGCACATAACATGTACAAACAATGCATTTGGATTGTGGTATTATGTGTAATTATGTTTTAAGGGGGGATGGCTTTGCAACCATCCCAACGCTGTAGCAGCACCTGGTTAATAGAGGATTCTGAGTCTCTGCTAAGTTGGAGTCTAGCAAATACTGTCCTGATGTTCTTAAGTCTTTAGAGTCTCCACCTAAAGAGGGTCATGTGGATATAAGAACAGGACATTCCTAGTTCCCTGGATAGATATCACTTAGCTGCCACTGAAGGGAAGCAGGTCCACACTTAAAGGTAGTTATCAATGCTTAACTTGAACTTGGTAGGACAAGGGGATAAAGGATGTGTAGGGTTGTTAACTGTCCCGGATTCACCTGGATAGTCCGGGTTTTGACTCCTGTATGTGCTGTGTCCAGGTTTCAGGCCAGCTGAAACCCAGTCACAGCACATACAGGACTCAAATCCCGGACTATCTAGGTGAATCCGGGACAGGTAGCAGCCCTAAGGAGGTGAGACGCCCAAAACTCACATGGGGCTTCTTTAGTTCCTTGGCTATAAGTCTCCAGGTGGATCACAGCACCCAGAAGCATTACACAGAGCTTCTAGTGCACGTCAGCCACAAAACGAGAGGTTGAGGTGTAGCTACAGTATGTTTCACTGGTGACTCTAGTGTTAAATCTTCTTCGGCACACATGGCCTCCAAGTTCTCAGACTGCTCACATACAGTTGCAGTACTTTTTTATGCCCAGGGTCCAGCCCCTGGACCTAAAACAGAGCACACAGCCTTTCTGTCAACAACCACTCACTTACCAAGGGCAGAAGAACTTCCCCCAAGAGGAGGATGGAGTAGAGACCCTAGGGCCCTTGTGGAACTTTGCCTCGCTGTTTTGTCAAAGCTAGGTCCATCCCTCATATGAAAAGCTCACCCGGAAGTGCTGACTAACCAGAGAGGGCTCTCTGTAACCAGCCTTTACACAGGACTCTGGAGCCTCCTCAACAGAGTGACCTGGCAGCTGTTGTAACACAGTTCATTTCTGAGTGCAATGCTCTGCAAGGCAAACCGCAAAAGTGAAAGCAAAACCAAGCGCATCAATGCACTCTACATCCCTACAGGTGTAAACAATAAAGTCATTAATTTTATTAGTATGTTATGTTCTATAGTGGTATAGAAATTAAACAGTAGCAGGTATCTGCTTGTTTCACTTGGCTCAGGTGGTCATCATAGCATGCAGGCGGACAGGCTATCTTGTTTGGTCGTTAGGTAACAAGGTTAACTATTCTCAATATCCATATAAGCCCACTGGGAATAAAGTTTGTGGAACATGGAGTGTTTTTTTCTTATTTATTTTACCACTGTTTATATACAAGTTTGCCTTATATGTTATCATAAATAATTTAATTGTAATAGAAGAACCTTTTTAAATACTGAAAAAAAAGGTAACGGTTACAACTTTTTTTCAGCCCAAGCTTGGACAGTGTAAGATTCCTTTATGTGGAAACTTGCATCAATTGTTTATTTAGTTGTAACATTTTGTCTGACTGTACGAAGCTCCCCCATTGTTATGTTCAAACTGACAGTGCCAAGTCTTAGAGAAAGTAGAAAAACGAAAGTGAGACCTATGTACTCAAATACTGTAGTAGGGACACAATTTTATTTCAAAAGTAAATGGAAACAACTGTGAAAGTGGGCATGATTGAACCTGGAACATTTATTTACCATGAACACTAAACAAACAAATAATGAAATGGCATTAACAAATAATTGAATAGTTTTAGATCCTCAGTAGAGTCAGTTGGTAGGACCGAGGGACATATGTGCAAACTCTTCTGATAATCCATCTTGCCCAATCCACTAAAAACTGATATATTCCACTTTCGGGAAGGTGCTGGAGAGTTAAACCACCTACAAATGTCCTACATCTCTCTGGGACTCTGTTGGTTAGTCCTTTGTACTAACCCAGATAGCAAGGATAACTTGCCACAAACTTGTGTCAGGGTGAAATTGTAATTCTTTCTAACTTTCTGCACACATTCCCTGGCAAGTTGTAGACTTGCAGAACACTTGCAGCACAAGCTCTAGGTGACACTTTTTGAATTTGTAGCAAATTTGCTTGGCAAGTCTACAGCAAGAGTCCTGCAGGTCAGAGCTCTGCAAGTGTACAGCACTTTTGCAAAGCACATTGATCTGAAGACATGCAATGCAGACTTGCTGTAATTGTGCAACAACATTGTGAAGTGTGGCAAGTCTAGCAATAGTTTAGCAAGTAATTTTCGAACTTGCAGCTCAATTGCTTGCTATCTGGGAAGTTCCTTAGTCTACACACCCACTGTGTTCATTATGAAGAACTAGCACTATGCCTACCAGATTTTTTTATTTGGTTTTATATTATAATATAACAGAAGGTGCCGGAACGCAACAACGTGGGGACCCACAACTTTATAGTGGAGCTGGGAATTATGTCAGGGAGAACTCACTATTAATATAATTAAGGTATGTAAAAGACAGTTAGCTATATCTAAACAAATACCAGTTTTCTTTTCTTGACAGTTTTTCTCCAAAGCTTGGAGAAGTCTTCAAATGTCTATATTAACAATCAGACAGAACATTGAGCTGAAAGGCCTGCTGATGTTTCCAGTAGGCTGCTAGGTGAACAGCAGGAGAAAGGAAAAGAAACAAAAGATGTTTGCAAATTGTAAAGAAGATAATTATATTCTTAAAGGAGAATTATGAGGTGAGTGATTTCCACTGACCCTCATAGTTCGAACCGATGTGTGACAATGAAACTGTCACAGGTCGGCTCTATAGATCGAGAAGTGAGCGAGTGCATATCGTCGCTCACTCACTTTCCAATCATCTCCCTGCAGAGAGCGATGACTGTCAGTCACCGCTCCCCGCAGGGATTCCCCCCCTCCCCGCTCCGATCCCCCAGCGCTGAGTGGAGGAATGGACAGGAGAGGGGGCGAGCACAGCTGGCTCTGCGTCTAGAGAGGCAGAGCCAGCTGTCGCTCACGCAGCTGGGTGGATTGCGATAGCAATGTCGGGATCCGTACCAGCTGCAGTGCACTCAGTATATAGTGAGCTGTAGCTCACTATATAATGGGCCTTGGGTCATGGGAGGACGCTAGTATATGTCCTCCTGTGACCCTTAAGAGAACTATGGGATAAAAAGGTTACCCCATAGTTCTCTTTTAAGTCTTATGCCTGTTCCTTAACTATTTCCACATGTATTCTAGAATCGGGGCACAGCACAGATGTGGTGCTGTTTTGGTATATTGGTAAATCCAACGCCTGGCATCAGATCTGAATCGCTGACTCCGGGAGGAAAACGGAAAGTGAATTTCTGCAGCAAGCTGGTGAAAAAAATGAAGAGCTCCATTCTAGCCAAATTTTCTCCAGCGCAGGCTCTACGCCCTGAAAGGAGAGAGAGAGAGGTGTGACATAGATCATGAATTAAGTCATTTTGATAACCCTTCAGTAGTTTAGCAGAGAGCCAAGCCAACATAGGTCATTCATTGTGCAAAGATGCTGTAACAGAGCAACTGCTAATTCTTTACAACTAATTTACTTTTAGTTTGAGATAATCCAATATCTTCATTTTCATAGGCTTATAGGCAGGTCATTTCTGAATACTGTACACTGATAACGTTAAAATTAGGGCTTAAAGTGCATCGGTGCTCTATTCTGGGATTCAGGGTAAAGCAATGTATTCACTTTCATTCCACCCATCCCAGCAGCATAGGACTTCCATTTGTTCTTCCGCTGTCCTGTGTGGCCTGCTGGGAAGAAGACATCCGGTAGCAGAGTCAAGTCATAAACCTGAGCTTCAGGTGGCCATAAATGCAGCAATTTCTGCTCGCCTCCAGGACTTCACTAGAGCCCCTCCATCCTATGGAAATCTTTACCCCAACCTGTCCATCTATCTCCCACTCTGACTGACTTTAGGCGATCCCTTAAGACTCATCTCTTCAGGGAAGCCTATCCCATCTCAACCTGACCACTGACTTCCATTTGTTCTTCTGCTGCCCTGTTTGGCCTGCTGGGAAGGAGATGACATCCGATGGCAGCATCAAGTCATAAACCTGAACTTCAGGTGGCCATAAATGTAGCAATTTCTGATCAATGTAGGTGCAAGCCATGGCAAACAAACAATTCATCATCAATTAGAACATCGATCAATTCAACGTGCATGATATTGTTTTACACTGTGTGATTGAACATTTGTATTGAAATTATGAGTAATCAGTTTATTGAAAGTCATCAATTAATCGATCTGAATTGATATTGTAGCCCCCTCTGATATGTCACTACTTTAGTTTTATAGCTAGACTGTAGTCAGTCTGGACGCTGATTGTCCTGAGATTTGCAGGTTTTCCTAAGGCTGCTGGACAGATTGATCCTACCTGTTACTGGGTTGGGGCCTCAGTATATAGTATATTGCTTTTCGGATTGCACGAGTCTGGGCTATATGTTGTGAGTTATTGCCTCAGTATATAGTGTTGGAGGATCAATCCTCAGATTATGAATATGCATCTGACTCTGACCAATCCCTGAGCAGGCTCACTCAGAGGTATGGCTGGAGGAAGGTGATAAATATTTAGGAACACCTTCCAGAAATCTCTCTCTACCCTGGGGCTTCTCCCTGGGAGGAGGTCTGTGTGCTTCAAGAAGTCTGGCCTAGGCCTTAGCATGTGGAAGGTGCTGGGGGCCCAGAGGCTTAAGATACCACTGAAGAGAATCCTGATGGAAGCTGGGCTGGAAGCAGAATCTGTTTATTGAGGAGTGTCACAGAGGAGCTGGTGAGAGCTGCCTTCTGGGCCCTATCAGAGATTCCTCACCCTTGACTCAGATATCTAACAGATAGAAGAAACCAGTTGGTGCCCTGTAAGTCATGTGACTGTTCTCCTTCAGAGTCTTGGACTGTTCCTGGCTGTTCTCTGGTGCTACTATCTACTACTGGTCACTCTCATAGGACCTGTTTCTATCTGTTACTACTGCTATTGCCTGCTGTACAGGTAGGAGAAGTACCCGTTTATTCCAGTGGCTCCTTCGGGGGTGATCCCTACAATATAATTTTTCCTGACACACATGAGTCACATGACACACAAACATTTCTTTGACTGATCAGAAGTAGTCAGAAGTTCTGCCACAGCTGATCAGCATAGTAGGGTCAAAATTGATTGAGAGCTTAATACATTGAAAAATGAAGGGTCTTTGTTTCAGATTTGTATTTAATGTGAGCAGTTTAGTTACATTGAATGATTGGTTGTATGACCATATCAATACTAGTGTGGCAACTATTACACAGAGATGGCACTCTCTCCTATGACCTTTGTGAGAGCATCGGGAAAGCTGGGTGAATGTGACTTTTGCCAGCCAAAAACATACTTACAATTGGCATAGTGACATCTTCTCATTAAATATGCTCCTTAAATTAAATTAGTGGCCAGGTCCTGTATACAAACATTTGATTGACTTCTATTGGTTATAGCTATTTTCATGTTAAAAAATGGGGCCAACTGTGTTATGTAGCAAAGAGGAATACAAACCTGCTGAGAATGGCATGAAGGCATCTTTCTTTATAAAATGTCCATGGGAATCTAGAAAATGATTTGGGTAGAACTCGTCCGGCTTTTCAAACTGCGTCTTGTCCCGCAATACAGAGGATAATAGAGGGATTATATAGGTTTCCTGGAATGTATAGAAAATAACTTTGACATAAAAAATATCGAATGGGAGGTACTTACTATTCTGGTTTAATTTAAAGAACAGCCCTGGTTTGTAGTTTATAATGGTAGAGGTGCTCGGATCTCAACTCAAATGATGTGCTCAATGAAATTACGGTTTTCTTTTAAGTGATGTTGTATTAGTAGCTTATGGTATTGCTGTACTGGATCTAAAATAGTTACCTTTGGGATAAAATATCCCCTAAAAGTGATGTCTTTAGTCGTCTCATGGGGAACACTGAGGGGCACAATATCGGCAAACCTCTGGATCTCATGTATGACGGCATTCATATAAGGCATCTGTACCCGATGGTCGTACGTAGGCTGTGCTAACCCAACGACTTTGGAGATCTCTTGTTGCACTTTTTCTGGAGATAAAAAGAAAAGTAGAAGGATTAAAATTAAATAATTCTTGATAGTTTTTTTGTTTCTTTTTGCAGCTCCTAATGGTTAACCAAATGTTATGACAACGAAAACGGCCATGTGTTAGATCTGATAAACTATGGTCAGTCTTCTACAGATGAAGCATGTGTTATCTCAAATGTCTAACTGTGACATCTTCACCATTGCTAGGTCTATTTATAATGGACCATGATATAATGTCAGGACTGGATGCAGACACTTTTGTCCGAGTGTATTGTAAGTTGCTTTGCCCCTAGCAGCCGCCTTTACCTTAAGGCTAATGCGCCTAATGGTACTTGTATGCTCTCAAGTCTTAAACTATACACTCTAGCTATAAATGTTGCAAGCGGCACTTTAGGAACAAAAGAGTAGTAATGACCGGTGACAAAACAAAGATATAAACAGAAATCAAGATAGCAGACAGGATCTGGATACAAAATATAAGAAAAAACTAGTTACAAGACAAATACAGGACACAAGATACAAGACGGTACAGGATTCAAGACAGGACTAGGAGACAAGATATAAAAGGCAAGCTAATGGCATGTGCAGACAGGACAAGACTGGACTATCACAAGCCCAGTACCCTGGGCTTGTGATGCTTAAATAAAGCACCACTAACGAACTCTCAGGCAGGGCCGGATTTACTCTCCCTGCCACCCCAAGGCCAGGATCCACAATACGTCCCCCCCCCCCCCTGCGCCACCAACCCCCCCTCCCCGTCAATTGAGAATGGCAACCAGATGGGGTTAGTTTCAATTTTTTTTACTGTTTCTTTATTTTCATCACTTTTAATTTTTTTATTCAATT